AAATGAAAGTCTTCACATCAATCTTATCTCAAGAGACTCTTCGAAACCCATATTTTCTTCGTATATACAGTCTTTTTTGGCTTGCAGATTTTTCTTAAGTCAGTCACTTTACTATCCACAGATGCGTTGCAACTGGGCCGGTACAAGATACTCCATTTAACTATGAAAATAGCTTTTCTAACCACTCGATGTGGGGTAAAAATCTTTAGCTCAGCTTAAATCTGCTCATAGTCTTCAGCTATACTTCCTCATAATGATATTCTTCGCAACCACCTATAAAGATTGCTTGAAACTCTTCTTTAATTATATAAAGATAAACTGGGTTTTGATGAATGCTTTTGTTAATTCATGTTCTTGAGTCCCATATTTCGTTTAGTAAATTGGGTTAGAGGGATTCGTAAATTTGCTTCACAGAAAATTTATGGAGGATTATCTTGGGGGTTTTACCATCGATTTATGCAAAAAGTTTCTCGCCCAATCATCCTTAGACTAAAGCAATCTTCCCTCTGTCCCCACTGAGGTGAATTTATGAATCTTTTCCACCCGTCCTTCCAAACGCAATGAAAATCAGATCATAGATATGAAATGAAAATCATTTTCGATTGTTTTGGTGCATTTTTATGCCTAGAAATAGAATCACGCTTTCATGGCAAGTTTGATTGCTACCAAATTTTGCGTTTCTTTTGTTCATATTCGACTAGCGTGCACTTAAGACAACGGTTATTGCATTTCAAATAATCTGTCATTAAATAATAATTTATTCCTTTTTATAAAAGGGGACTTCGCTTGGATACACTTACGCAAATTCTTTTTTATGCAAACGTGCATGCCGGATGCAAAATTCTACTATCAGAAACTTGCGCAGGAATCATTCTTAGCGCTATTCTTGAACGTTTAGGCGGACCCGATTTTGGAGGTCTTGTTGTAGATTTTTACCATGGAACAGTTCCTATCTCCTCAAAATCATTCAGATTCGTCGCTCACTCAGAAAAGCAGGTTAGATTGTTTAATATACATCAATTGTTCCTTTTATTTATCTTTTGCCTCTGGGAAGCAGCTATTTGACGATAGCATATTCCAATTTTAATCTATGATAGGGAAAATAGGCCCAAAATTTAAAATCTATCCGCTCCACAGCTAAGTTTATGGGTCATTCGTTTTGGCTTAAACCCATAATTCAGACCTAACTCTTACAGTTCATTCAAACAACAATACCGGTTACTTCGCGAAAGTAGCGGTGTTGGCCACATTACTAGCAACTTCACTTCAACAAAATTTTTATGTCGATAATCCTATTATAATAGAAGCCTCGCATTGCATTATGAAAACAAAAACATTTTTAAAGACTTCTAATTCTAAGGACGAAGACGACTCAGGATAGATTTAGGATTCTTACTGGTGAAAGTGATTTTTATCCTTATGCATCAAAATTATAATGATTTTAATTTAAATTTTTTTGATAATTTACTATAAGGATACACATTTATTACTTTAAAGTGTTTTTTTATTATGATAACTATAAGCTCTATTTTTGGGGGACCAGAAATTAGTATTTTTATGACTTGCCTAACTTTATTATGTTCAAAATGTCGCCAAATATCATCTGAATATTATTTTGGCCGAGTTTATTCTTTGAGTTCTGGCTATAATTATTTCTCGTTGCCACCAATTTAGAGTTGTTGTATTTTGCTGTATGTATTTTGCTGCTGGAGTGCCTTTCATTTCCTTTGAAGAGGCGAGTGGAAGGGATTCGTAAGTAGGTATCACCTGAAGTTGTAGGCGAAATGCCCTGGAAATGGCCTTGTAGATTTGTGTGAATAGGTCCTTGGCGCTTCGTCCTGCGACCCCGATGAATTCTTGCCGAGCTTTCGTTCGTCATGTGACGGGCATCACCAGAACAGGGCACCATGCTTAACTATAATTCACCAAAACATGAAGACAAGGAAGGTGGTTGGCTTCAAACCTGCCTACTTATAGTCCAATTTGGTTCACCTACTTAGGCATCTCATGTGTTGGTTGGATATATTATGCTTTGCCTAAATGGTTACTCATAAGTTAAGTTAAGTGTCTGTGGGTGGCATGTGAAGTGGCTGCAGATGAAGTGTGAAACGGGTGCAATTGTGACCGAACAGCTGTATCCCCTTTGATCTTACAATGGTACCGCATGTAATTGCTTTCCATTGCACACGTGTTATGTGAATGCATTGCTCTTAAAATGAGTGTGATGTGAGAGTAAAAAGCAGATGCGAGCCTAATCAAGCCTCCTCTTGCTCGATGGTACTTTTAGTTCCGCCTCCCTCTCTCTCTCTAATCGTATCCAACAACCACATGTAGTTTCCACTTAGCTTCCTGCGATTATTTCTTCTATTCAGAGTGTTAGTTGTTTTGTTGCTTTCTATCTCATCCCTAATCTTTCGCCTACTAGTATAGTATAGTATATCCAGTTAAGCGCTTAGAATTAGACCAATCTATCTGGTGTCCTGTGCGAGCCGAGTTCGGTCAATTCCGATTTTTGGACCCACATACCTTTGCAGCTGTTTTGTATTTAGATTACCTCTTATGTATGGGCCTACTGGTCTCATCCACGCAGGCCCTACCGCATGAACACAAAATGTTGTAACAGCCCGATCTGCAGAGCTGATCAGACTATTCTCGAAAAGGAGGCAATATCGAATAAAGTGTTACTTTCTATTTATAAATAGTCATGATTTCCCACTTTAGTAAATCGCCTATCTTCTTCGACAGATTACATGATGGCAGCCACTCTGTTATAGTGGTCTAATCTTATATTTACTTCCAAATATGTATTTCCTCCCATCAATTTGACGACATTTTAAACTAATTGTCAATCAGTCCTCGTGGATACTTATGCTCTTCCAGAATTCGCTTTAATCTTCTCAGCTCCCGATCCCGATGATTAACATCTACCAGACTCAGTTCCTTATTATCATAGATTTCATAATCCACTTGAGATGTTGCATGCGAACAAAGATAGGCGTCCATAGCTTGCTTAGGTAACACAGGTTTACTCAGGGAGACGACACGTGAAGGCAATGCCTAATATCTGCAAGAATTGGAATCAGAGCCTAGGCGCTCTGCTCGGTGAGGTGGCACTTATGTGCTTCTAGGGTCTTGAGAATTAGCGCCTGTAGAAAAACGCACACTGGGACTGGAACCAAGTGAAATCGGTCAACCAGAAAGATAAGAAACGGATCTACGAGACTATGAGGGAGATACGGATAGGAGGCCCGAGTCGGATTAGCCGATCGAAAGAGTGAGGTCGGGGTAAGTGGCAAGTGTGATGAGGCCACACTAAATTTGCCACAAAAGGGCACACATTTTGACGAGTGAAATGTAAAAAAGTGAGAATTTGTGATAGAGCGGCAGTAGGATAAGAGGGTGAAGTGTCTATAGATAGGCCAGGACAGAAAGAGGAGTGATAGTGTAACCGTTTTCGGCAGAACGTTGATCGAGGGATTGACCTCATTTGTCTCTGACGAGTTCGTAGCTTGGGGCGAAGAATGGCAACATTCATTGATGATGCCGGCGAAACGTCTGAGAATGTACCAAGTTCACTGTCTGATGCTGGGAATTATGATAACTACTCTTTCAGAGGATTTCAGACAAGGTGCGTTTTACTAAGTTGCCAATACAAAAATACCAAGTTGCAACAACGAGGTCAACCTACTTCTATAAATCGAAAAAAAGACTGCAGCCATACCGGGGGCCACACCATTTTGGTTTTTATATATTCGATTAAACTACGGTAGTAAAATTGCCAGACAATACTCTGAATACAGCCGGACAAAGAAGACAATTGTAAGTCAATCTTGCCATCTGACCTTTTTAAACTGTTGCAAACGTTATGGTATCGCTCCTAATTTCTGTGACCTTAAGAGACCCTACTATTTGGAATAGGTTAATAAGTATCTCCGCTAGGCTTCTATTCAGAAAATAAGTGAGATTTATGATACGGAGAGGAATGAGTTATTTAAGTTTATATATATTAAGTCAAAGCTCCGGCTTGATCTGGCCATGATCCTGACTCCGGAAGACTTTTAAAAACTCCAGAGCATGACCGACAGGAAATCACGTAGGATCTCTGGCTTAAAAAGATGACATGGTGATAAATTTCGTAAGTTTGGGATTATAAAACAGACTGATCAGCACGACGATCGGAAGAAAGTATTAAAAAGATTCAAATTTTTCATTCAAAATGACAGAAGCCTTCTGGAGGACATCCTGGCGGAGGTTATCAATATCTCCGAAAAGCTCCCTGAGGAGACAAAACGGGAAATAGAGATGGAACTAATTCCAAAAATCTTGACACATCAGGAGCCAACACAGAAACAGACTTGCGAGAATAGGCAAAACCCTGAAAACGAATGAAAAATTAGTCCTTTAGGTGGATAAAGGAGGAGCGACAGTGTTAATGGGCAAAAAAGATGGAATATATTCTACGAAACAGGACCACATATCGTATACTAAACAAGGACCCAATTATGAAAATTGAATCTTAAGTAGATGCTGAAAGATACTCATAGGAACGGGAAAATTGACGCATGGACGACTAATTCAATCATAAGAAAAGATGCATGACCACCAACAGTCTACGGATTACCGAAGGCACACAATGAAAGCCGGCCACTAAGACTAATAGTCAACAATGAGTATGGAGCAACACACAAATGGGTAAAGTTTCTGTTTGAAACTCAAAAAATTAAATGAGAGGCTATCAAACAAGGTGAAACATTCATATGAATTTTCTCAAAAAATCAAAAACATGGCACTGGAAGAAACTTATTTATTGGTAAATTTTAATGTGGAATCAATGTATACAAATATCTCTGGAGAAAATGCACTAACGGCCCTGTTGTAAATCCTAGACCAAGAGGAGAATATCCTGGAATCTCAACGAATCGGGAGGGAGTCATTAACACGATGAATCAACCTATCTTACATTCAACGGCACCATCTCTAAACAAATATTTTGACTTCACATGGGATCGCCACACTCACCACTTTTGGCAAACGTCTGCATGAACAAAATAGAAGAGAACTTCAAGATGGCACCGCTACAACCGGCAGTGTTCATGCGGTACCTGGATGATTATTTTGCACTTTGGTCACAGGGAAGAGAAAGACTCGAAAAGTTTCTGAAGTTTGTTAACCAGATTGATGAACAAATTAAATTCATGATGGAAGTAGAGGAAGCTGAGTGGTTACCGTTCCTGGACGTTGAAGTGATTTGCTCTTATGGGACGCCCAATCATCCGAAGCCTACGCTTAAGGGATAAAGAATTACGGAACGAGGAGTTGGACAAATTGATTATGATTATTCTCAGAAACGGTAATACAAAGAAACATATGGGCCGTGAAAAGCCGATGGCAGAACGGGAACTATGAAAGAACAGCAAGGACGATGAAGGATTCACAAAAGTGGATATGCCTACCTTCCTGCGAACTTACTCAAAAACTACGGCCAATATGAGGGAAATGGGATATTCGGGTGGCCATGAAAGAAAAATCAACTCTTTTCACAAGTCTATCGACGCAGCATGAAAGAGTAGACAAATTGGATTATTCAGGAGTTTACTGTATATCATGTGGGGCCTGCGAACATAAATATATTGACGAAACAGGGAGAAAAATTAGCACACAAGT